ACATTTCATTTATTTCTGAGTACTTTCAACATAGCACAATGTTGTCATCAGAGAATTGTTTATTACAGGATAAATATTGTATTGTTCATTATTGTGAAAGACAAAAAACTGTTGTGATCATCTGAAAATTAAATTTCTTATATGCAAAATGAGGAATGCTGAGTCAGAGCATGACCACTAACACTGTTTAAGGGGAAGTAACTAGGTATGGCTTTTGTCTTTCACAATAATGAACACTCAGTCAGTTATGTACCATGCAGGATACATGACTGATGAGGCAAATTTTTTTTCCTGCAGTAGGTTGCCATCCAAAGCTATAAACCTGGTCTGTCCTGCGATTTACCCATAGCTGGTGGTAAAAGAAGAGGATTCATACCTTTACCAATGGTATTAGCACATAAGTGAATGTAATGGATTCGAACTCGGCACTCCAATTCCTCAATCCAAGCTATTATCCATTACTCCAGCATACCTCATAATAAACACTACAATACAATATTAAATTAAAGAAATGGAATAACATTTTTTTTGCAGACACCACCAAATATATGCCTTAAAAAATTAGTAGTTTATAAATGGATAGAAAAAAAAAAAATTACAGTAGAAATTAAGTCATATATATATATATATATATATATTTTACACAATACCGTATAAAATCTATTAGCAAATTAATTTAATTTCAGACACATAAAAATATGGGATTAAAAATACCACCCAATTATATCTAAGCACCTCTTTAAGAAACTATCAACGAAAAAAAAAAAAATAAATAAATAAATAAATAAACAAAAAATGACTAACTAGAACATCTATCAGTAAGTTTTAACATAGTAATAAAAAGAAAACAGAGTTTGGGGAAAAAGGCCATTGGAGCCAGACAGAAATCCCCCAATCCAATCTTATGCAGACTCCAAAAATTTGACATGTAATAGACATTCATACTTTCATCACATTAGTGACCCCTTGATAACAAAAGAAAAAAACCCAGATTACACCTCCATTTCCAACCTATAAATGAGTAAAACATTTCCCGAGTTAGTTATTTTAAATATCGTTTTGAGAATAAAACTGTACTCTAAATTTTAAGTTTAATATTGAAGTTAAAGTTTAAGACTTGAGTCAACAGTAATTGACAGTAATTTCTGTGTCATGATGGAATCAAATTATAAAAAAAAAAAAAAAAAACACATAACAACAATACTCACACATACACACAGTAAAAAGAACCTTCAGATATTGGAGGCCATCTACATTAAAACAAAGCAACCTACACTCAACAAAATTACATCACGAATTTACAACCTGCTATTCTGCGACTGTTATCATATAGCAACTTTTATATAAACATAACAGAATATCATCTTTGATAGTGAATATCTTTGTTGAAATGTCCATATAACCACCTCTGATGATGGCTCATGTGAGCTGAAAGCTTAGATCAAGGAACAGCATAATAAAAAAAATAAAAAAATGTTGGACAGTTTTTGTCTTTATTTTCTCCTGAAATTAAAGCAATTATACAAAGTTTAGAACAGCTCATGATCAAACATATTAGACATTCGTTGTCTGTTATATTTAACAACACACACATATATATATATATATATATATGCACTGCAGTACAAAGGCTTTTCTAAAACCCTTTCAGGATAACTGAGATGGTGCTACTCTGTCACTTATACCAGGAAAACTATTTCATCATTTGCTATTGAGGCTAAACACTTGAGGTTTCACTATAGAGTAAGGATTAGTAAACACGTCTTTGAGGCAATAACAAATTTGATTTTCATATGGTCTTTAAAGAAAGAAACACAAAGGAAGGAAAATGAAGGTTATAGAGAGAAAAGAGAAACCAAAATGGGCTCAGAGAAAGAAGAAGAGCACATATATATATATATATATATATATATATATATATATATATATATATATATATATATAGAGAGAGAGAGAGCGTTTTGATTTTTACAGCTTATCAACCCTTTGTGGGTTATTTAAAGGAGGAATAATTTTTTAATTATAATTTGCTTTTTGGCAAACGAATATTGTATCAAATAATGATTTTTACAAATTCTATTATTTAACCTATAGCTGGAGAGAAAAATCGATTCAGACCTTTCCCCAAGAGAGCATTTGCATGTAAGCGAATGACTGGAGTTTGAATACACACGGAGGGGAGGCAAAGAGTGGAAAAGAGATAAATGAAGGAGAATGATAAGAAGATGGAGCATAATGTTCGTTGGGGCGGGTGGTCGAGTGTTAAATGAATAAAATAAAATGCCTGTAAGTAAAGAATAAAGAAGGTGTACAATTACAAAGTTCAAGCAAAGGTGTGGTTTCGATTGAAGAAAAAAATAAAAATAAAATAAAAAATAATGTGAAATCGGCGATAATTTCCTTTCTTTTTATTATTATTATTACGAAATAATTCATTTTCCTTTTCTTCTCAGTCTGAAAGAAATTTTATGATGTGATCGTTAAGATAACCAACCCGGTAAATCGATTGGATCCCGACTTAAGGAACAAAGAAGGAAAGAAAGCTAAAATTATACAACAGTGCGTGAGCAGTAGTCGCCGTCGTCGCAGTGTTGTACTGCAATATTTTGCCGGATTCTTCCACGTTCGGAACGGGGGAAAAAAGACAAAGATTCGTGTTGATTCAACATATTTCTTTTTTGGAAATTCCATGATTCAGCACTGATATTTTGAATCAAATATATCCTCAATTTTTTTTTTTATTTTAAATTCTTACTCACTAGTTTAAAACTAAAAGGTATACCGTAAATGTACCTTTTTAAAGTTTATTACAGAAAAATGAAAATGATCTTTATTCCTGACCATACTCATTATTTTTCATTATTTTAAATAAATTATTAGAAAAAGTCCACCCACAACTGTGTCCATTGCAAAAAATGGCGGTTTTTTTTAAGGATCACAAAAATAATCATTGTTTATTTATTATTTCTATAAAACATGGTTACTATGCGACAGGCATGTGTCGCAGGGTAGAACATAACGAATGAAATGTGATTTTTATATTCTTTTTCACAAGTCGTTATTACCGCGCGAGTAAAGTAGGACTGTACGCTAAAGTGTACATGGTACTGTGTTGACATTCAAATCGATATTTCATGGGTTGGGGTTTTGAATAAATGTTTAATTAAAACCTTGCACTAGAATAGATTTTTTATAAGCACCTGGAATATAAGAGGGGGTATTGTGAAAATAAGTTAAAAAAAAAAAAAAAAAAAACATCTAAAATCGATATTTAGTTTTAACAGAATTTGTAAGTATTTTAGTAAATTGGTCGGGCCGAGAACTTTTCAGCACCCCTCATATAATTTTTAAAGCGCGTTATAAAAATAAACTTTTTTTCGTAGAAGGAAATGTCTCTTGCTTGAGTCTAACTAAATCAACATTTCAATTCATTTTTTTAAAAATCAATTTTAAAATTAAATTTAAATTCCACTTTACGCCAAAAAAAAAAAAAAAAAAAAAAAACAGCATTTTATTTTTAAAAATGTTCCAAAAGAAGACAATATGATTATATAAAAATTTGAGCATTACAATCTATTTTTTTTAATTTATTTAGCTAAAATAAATCGATCATTTTGAACAAAATAATTTCTGACGAGTAATTTATTTCATCATTGTTGCTTTTTAAAAAAAAAAAAAAAAAAAAAAATCTCGGATCGTCATTCTACGACCTCCGTCCATTCTATAAGAAACGTGGAAAGAGATTGGAATTTACATTCAAGAAGCTTGTTTCAAGAACACAACAGAAAAAAAATTAGTAAAAATGAAATGACAAACAAATGCTTCTTTGCTAAAAAAAATAAATAAAAAATAAATAAATTCATTTAAAAAAAAAAAAAAAAAATGTTACCAACTTAAAAAATGAAATTGTCATTAAATATAAAGATTCTACAGAAAGAAAAAAAATCCAATTATTTTAAAAAATAAAAAAAAAAAAACGGATTTTTATTTTAGTTTTTACACTGGCCTCCGGCGGTCACAAAAAAAAAAAAAAGAAAAAAATAACCACCATGTCCAAGTTTATAGAAGAATCTTTTATTTAAAAAAATAATTAAAACAGAAAATTAAACATTTTGACTTTAATTTTTATTTTTAAGTAAAAAAATTACCCGAGAAATTAGAAAATAAAATCGACTAACATGATTTTTTACGTTATTCATCATATTTTCGTAAAATCTAATTAAATAATTCTATTGAGTACTGTATTGATTGACTAAAAGAAAAATCGGAGCTTTTTTTTAAGATAAGAGAGATTATTTTTAACAAATTTCAACATCAAAATATTTTTCTTTAGAAAAAAAAAAAAATAAAATAAATTAGTAAATTGTCTAAACAAAAAAAAATTGATTATTTTTGCAATTGTACATTTCACTGTTTTTATGATTGTGTATTTTTTAAATATTTACAATAATTTCTATTTATTTTAAATTTGGATACTTTATTTAAAAAAAAAATAAAATAAATCAAAACGTGGTTTTTGAATAGTAAAATTATTTTCGTATATTAGAATTTTTTTTTACAGATTTAAATTTTATATTGTCATCAACGTTTTTCTTTTTTGGGGGTTGAGATAATCAATAACAAAATTGTGGTAAAGTACAATTATTGGCTTAATGAATAAATTGTTTTATCTTTGTATCAGAAAGCAAATATTTTCCATCGTAATCGCTAAAAATACGAATAAAATTATTGTGTCGAGTCATTTAATCAAACTAGCAAAAGATTTAAAAATTTAAATTCTGAAGAAATACTACTGAAGTAAAATTTTAAACAGAAAAAATAGTTAACTCAAATTTATTTCATTAAAGCTAGTTTCTTTCTTTTTTAATTTAAAAAGCAAACCATTTTTTATTTTTTAAAATACTGGCATCGAAATGACATATTTAATACGACTTTAATGTAAAAATGAAAGTAAATAAATTATTAGTTAACGAAAAAAAAGTTTAAAAACAAATTCTCACCTGTGGCTTTTTTTTCTTTGCAATCACTCTGGCTGGCTGGAGGTAGATTTTCAATTAAAAAAAAAAGTTAGGTCACAGCATAGAGAGAGAAAAAGAAACCCCCTTTTTTTAGCCTTTCTTTTTATTTATTTATTTTTTTTTAAATTAGGTTTTAAACATCATATATTATTTGTTCCGCAAGGAAAAATAGAAAAGAATTATTAATAATTTTCCTTGAAGCTCCGTTTCGAACAGTAAAATTTGTAATCTAAAAGAAGAAAGGTATATCTCGTGTCCGTCTTTTTATTTAAAGACGGGGGCTAAAATATTTGCATGTACTATTTCCTTTCTTTTATAGGAAAACAATAAAAATGCTAGATACTTATTTTTTCTCTCTATAACGAAGCTCAGATTACTTTATGAGTCAGTGTCTGTCATTTGATAACGAACGACTCAGACAAGGTGCGAGTTTTTAAAAAATTTAAATCCAGACCGCCACTTTAAGACTTCACCCTCTCTTTTTAATGTGTTGTTGTAATTGTTTTTTTTCACTTTTTAAACTTTGAATCCTTCATTGACGCATTCGACCGTTCATCATGAAAATGAAATAACACTTGTTTCTTCAATAGAACTGAACCATCGCAGCCAGTCCTTCCAGTTTCTTTCGTGGTCACATAAGGAATTCAGTTGTAGAGTAGCAACAGACCTGTGTATCCAACCGTTACTACAACTCCTACTATGGCTTCTAGCAGTAGGCAACACATTTAAACCAAACATATAAACGAAACCTCTTTTTTTTTCTCTCTCTTTCTCTCACATCATGCAAGAAGAAGAGGAATCATTCTTTAACGTCAACGTACGAAGAAATAAAAAAATTCTTTTGGCGACCCTAAGATTCTGGTCTTGATATTATTATTATTATTATTTTGGCCCCCTTCGGATATTTTCTTAAATATTTTAGGACTATATAGTAATTTTTATAAGTCGGTGCCTTTTCTTTTTTTTTTTCTTTGTTTTGTTTTTAACCCAAGCGAAAAATTCTTTTTCTCTCTCTGCCAACACTTGTTCATCGATTATTTACAAACATTGGATTATCTCCCCTGGTTTCGTCATGAGTCACCCTCCTCCCTCACGACTCCAGCAAAGATAACACCACAGACAATAAACTCGTTTTACCGTTTAATCAACTTAACTTGGCTCAATTAACTTATCCAACAGGCGACATCGGAGTTTAAAATTTTAAAAATCTTCTGAAAAATAACTGGAAGGAAATCTACAGTAGAAACAAAAATAAAAAAAATGAACGGAAGTTTTTTTATTTTTCATCAGTCTTTTTATATTAAGAAATGTTTTAATTTTATTTAATTTCATTAAATTAATTTTTGATAAGCAACCTACACACACACACACACGCACGATGTATGTGTTGTGATAATACTACTTAACAGAAATATACATACAGCGAATACATTGATAGCCAGCCTACTGAGTCAGTCTGTCAATTGCTTGGAGTATCTACTCATGTTCATTAATAATATTGATCCATTCATTTTCTACGGCTTGTCAACCCTTTCCAGGTTATTTAAAACCAGAAAATATTTTTAGATTGTAAGAATTGTTTTTTTAGAGATAATCATTTAGTTTCCTATAAGTGAATATAACGAACACAACCGGAATTGGAACTTGGCTTCCTGATTAACAATTCAAAGCCATTATTCATTACACCACCTGCACATCCAAGTTTACAGCACCTGGTATTCCAAATAGTCATTTATCAAGGTACCAACCAGGCTTGACATTACTTTATATTAATGATCGTACAGGAACCAGTGTTTCAACATGATATGGTTCTATGCCTACTCATGTTCACTTATTAGATGTGGTTTGATAATGTAGAGGACTGGGGGGATGAAAAGAAAAGACATACGTTTAAATTTCCTGCTAGAAGAAGGTCCAGCTACAAGAGAATGTTGGACTTGAATTAAATTCAACTGAAGATAAAGAAGACCTATATATATATATATATATATATAAATAAATATATGTATTAAAACAATTAACATTGTGATTGTGTGTGAACATTTGTGTTTGTTCTTTGGTGAATGTTCGTATTTTGGAAAAGTTTGTAAGAGTTTGTACGTACGTGAATGTGTGAAATATTATTTAACGTCTGACCGCATGGTCGAGACGATAATTCTCTGGGACTACATTTTGCAGCAAGAATAGAGAAAAAAGAGAAAAAAGCAAACTCGTGTTTGCTATTTATAGATAATGTAATCACGTGACAGGCTCACAGCGCCTCAGCAGGAAACTTGACTTAGTCACGCGCTGGAAAAATATATTGCGCGTGGGTGGATTGCAACGCCCACTTGTGTGTTTATTGACCAATTAGAAGCTGATATTTCCTGAAAATATTTACTAAGCTGAGAAGGCTCTTGGGATCCGATTCTCCCAGAAGTGCACAAAATCGACGACATGAAAATATAGCGATTATAAAATTGTCGCATAGCCGTGGTTTATAGATTGTCCATTACACAGCAGTGTCAATTTATTATCCAATGAATGCTTGTTTTGTATAATTTGAATTTGCGTAAGTATGTATGTGTGTGATGATGATGATAATTACAATAACACTGTGCTTGAAAAACTTTGCAATTTTGACAACAGCTGACAAATTCAAACAATGGACCTGAATCAAAACAGAAATCTGCTACCAAGACACTTGAAATGCTTTGTCAGGATTTTCATGAACAGTCTTTTGACTGAACACAGGTTTCTTCTTTAGTGACATGCACATTTCAAGGCCAGTTGAATGTTCATTCCATAGGAAGAATATGCAGGGCAATTAGTCACTAGAAAAATGCCAGAAAATATGTTTTTTTTTTACCACTTATCAAACTTTTTCAGGTTATTTAAAGCCAGAAAATATTTTTAGATTGTAAGAATTTTTTTTGAGATAATAGTGATTTACTGATGCAAGTCCTAATAATTAACCAATATTTTCTACTATTGTGTGTGTTAGGAATTATAAATATTTCAGGAAATATATATGTAAATATTTTAAATTAATATTTCTATGAGAAAAGTATATATTTGAAAATAATACATTCATTATTATGATGTCTACTCCATATCAATTCAGCCAATACTCCACTGGCACCAGCTGTGGTCAGTTGAATTTAATATCTCAAGTACTTCAGTCATTTCCTCACCTTCAGGAGAGGACTGGAGTCACTACCTTGTACCTTAGGCAGTCATTACCTTGTACCTGAGGCATCCTCAAAAGAGGAAGTGCAGAGAGGAGTAATTTTTGGACATCTTCCTACATTAAACCTCAACCTTGTGTCACATTCTGTTAGTATGTAGGTGCACAGACAAATATGCTCATGGCAGTGGTGACTCAGGGGTCAGGCTTGTCAAGCTTAGCCTGAGTGAATCAACATTCAAATATATCTATTTCAAAACAACAAAAATCTTTAGTAGTTGTTTGTTTTCATTCTTGACTTCAGCTGGATACAAAATGAATTGTTTTAACTCCATGCCTCAAAATATTGACTGAAATACGTTTTTGTTGATATTGTTTATAAGAAAGAAAGAAAGAACAAAAAAAACAAAGACAGAAAGTAAGTAAAAAAAAAGAACGAAATAAAATTAATGTGGCTAGTCGGGCTATGTAGATCTGAACCCTATCTGAGTTGGAAACATACTTAATAGGAAATAATAGATAGGAAAAGACAAAATTTATAAGGCATTTTAAAAGAAAAAGCTAAAATAAACCAACCAGTTTCGTCCCAGGACTTATCAAGGTTATTTTTCTGGGAATAGAAAATTTAAAAAGCGGGTAAATTAATTTAAATTAAGGAATAGAATGAAAGAGAAAAAAAAATGAATTTCAAGAAACTAGAGTCCAATAACATTCAGACCCAGCAAGCATTCCCTCTGTTTACAAAGGGAAGGCTCATGGGATCTGATATACAAGGACTCTAGAACCTTGAGGTGAAATGTGGAGTGGGACCTAGATAAAATCATAAAACGGTCCACACTAAAATTAACCACACATTTCTTACTATTTATTATATGCTCAGCAATAGCAGAGTCAGAACTATTGGTTAGTTTGCTCTTCCTGGCAGACGGATTCAAAATCCTGGCGAGTAAATGCTGTTTTATTCTCAAATCTGAACGTTCCCAGCATTTGGATTCGAGAATAAAACAACATTTACCCGCCAGGATTTTGAATCCGTCTGCCAGGAAGTGCCAACTAACCAATAGTTCTGGCTCTGCTATTGCTGAGCATATAATAAATAGTACCATTTTTTGATTTTATCTAGGTCCCACTCCACATTTCACCTCAAGGTTCTAGAGTCCTTATATATCAGATCCCATGAGCCTTCAATTTGAACAAGGCCATCACGCACAGGCCCTCAGCCATGATGACTTGTGACTTTGTGTTAGCACAACTATCAACAGCCCCCAAGGGTTCCATCTGCCCAATTTCACTCACAAGGCTTGGGTCAACCCGTGGTATGGCTTTCTGGCATTTCCAAAGTTGCTGCACAATTATTTTAAGACATTTTTATGTTTATACATTCTTTTTTATAGATACAAATATTTAAGTAAATGCTCTGTTTATAATAAACAGTATTAAGCAACATTTACCGGCCTGAATATCCAAGATATTTTCACAGGCAATATTCGTCCTCCGACAGGATTCGAACCTGTATCCTATAGGGAACCATCATTTAGCTTGTTGGACTTTGTCCATTTTATAATGTGTGACATCATTTGTTTACATTTGATACGCCATGAGCAGATATGAATGTACATGAGAGATTCATGGAAGATTGAAGTTTAAATACAGTAAATTCGACCTCGCTAATCGAACGTGCCTCTGTGGCCAAATCAGTAAAGGCACATCATATATATATATATATATATATATATATATATATATATATATATATACTAGCAGCATGGCCCGGCGTTGCCTGTGCTTGATTCAAAAATCATACGACTCATACAACAATCGCTATCACTTGACTTAAAATATTTTTGCCCTTCCTTGCCTTTAAAGGACTGTCCTTTGCCATGCTGATGTTGCTACATGCCTTACTTCTTGCCTATCTCACACTGCAAATTTTTTCTAAGCTCTATACTAAACATTAAATCTGTTACGAAAAAAGAACTAAACAAAATGAATACAAAACGATCAGCTTTAAAAAAGGACTAGTAACGGGAAACACTGAATGAAAAAAGAATGTTAACAACAAATACTTTTTCACACCCAACCCAGTTCTGCGGAATCAGAATCAACGTTGAGTTTAAGCAAGCGAATGAGCCAATTGGAGTAAAGTGCCATGCAGATTTAAATTTTCCCCACTTGTGACGAATGCATCTATCAATTTATTTTACATGCTAGCATGCTAGTTAACATTTGTGTCAGTCAGCTGTTGGCTCTCACGCTGGCCAATAGAATCTTCCTGCCTATTCGTGGCAGCCAGCTATAGGCTCTCATTCTGGCCAGTACAAAATGGCCGCAAACTACATGAAAACTGCCGTAGAAGCATGAAAAAATTGATTATTTTCACTATTGATGGGAGTTGGGAAATGCAAAGTCAGTCTTGGCCTTCCCGCTAACTTGGAGCATGTGCATGTAAATTTTGGTGCAAATCCGTCGAAAATTACTTTGTTAAAAATTATTACCAGCAATATATTTTTGAAAAAAAAATATTACCATCTATACTTTTTTTGAAAAAAATATTACCAGCGATACATCTTTGAAGGAAATATATTACCAGAAATAGATTTTTGAAGGAAAAAAATATTACCAGAAATAGATTTTTGAAAAAAACAACATATTACCAACAGTAAAAATCTTGTTGCTATTAAATAACCCATTGAGGTTGATATGCCATAAAACAAAACAAAGCAAACCAAACCATCATAGGCTGATTGCAGATTATAATGTGTCCTGTTTTGTGATGTATTTTTATTATATTGTACATTGGGGGCGTTGTCTAGCTTATTCTGTATGGCAGAGGATTCGATCAAATCGAAAATAGTGGCATCCATGAGAAATCAGCATCTTTATAGTCATTTATTTCCAGAAAATGACAATTGCCCGTTTTTATTTCCAGAAAATGACAATTGCCCATTTTTATTTCCAGAAAATGATAGTTTCCTGTTTTTCTGAAAATGAACCAGCACAGCCAGGCAAGAATGTTATAACAATTCAGCAATGACAGCATTAAAGTCTACCTGGATCAACAGAAAACTGAAGAAGGCCAAAAGGTACAATGACCGAAACAATCTTATATTAACCATAACAAGAACATTAGATAGTAAATAATGATAATGCCTCATCCCAGAAATTCCAAAAGAAATCTATTTCCTGATGACCCACAATTTGTGCTCACTGTGACACACACCCAGATCAACACACCTGTATATTGATAAGTAGACATAAACAGGTGATAAACTAAAGAGAATATGTATGTATGTTAATGAGGTTTTAGATGGTCATTTTTATTTATCAGCTCTTAAAGAGATAATGAACAAATATCCGTATGCTTTTTTTAGTATTTCCACACAGATAACTTTTGAAATATATACCTACATAGGTAAAAACATGAATCAATGTGCAGAACCAAAAGCTCACTGGGAGTGTTTGTCATATATGAATAAAACAAACAAAAACAGTCAACAAATACTGACACACCCACATTAGATTGTATTTAGTGTGTAACCTTGTTACGTTGCAAATGTCGTCTTCTTTGTATTTAGCAAAGTATTTGGGTGGGGGGAGGGGTAGTAATAATATTTGGGTGGGGGGTAGTAATAATATTTGCCACCCTTTGCAACCGTAAT